AGAAACTCTCGCAAAAGAACCAAGACACATGGAACCACGTTTCCGAATGTCTTTCTTGCCAAACTTTTTTTTCATGCTTATTTATGCNAGAATATTCGTGCCCGTTTTTCTTGTGTTGATGTAAGGTGGGATAAATGAGCATAATTCAAATGCCAAACGAATTGAACGCACATGCTCTCGTGCACCTGTCGGAATCCCCGTGAACCTCCAAGATATTCCTGAAGGACAGACGACAGAAACTCTCGCAAAAGAACCAAGACACATGGAACCACGTTTCCGAATGTCTTTCTTGCCAAACTTTTTTTTCATGCTTATTTATGCTTATTCATTTGTGACACCCGAAGTGCAAGTCCGCCCTGCTCCGCGCGACCGACAACAACCGTGACGAACTCGTGTTCCTATTTGTTTTGCACAACGAAGCTGTTACGGAATGTTGACCCAGCCCTTCACCATTAGCAGCAGCACGTGAAGAACCAGCCTTTCCAGCATACACAGGGATACACCAAAGCCCGCCCCGTCAACACACACGTGCGCCGTTTATGTTTGAGACCTGGCTGATATTCGGTTGATGTCGAATATGCTGCAACTACCCTAGCCCGTTCGCCCATTGGGAAATTGAGCCAGCACATTCGCCCGCCGGTCTCGGCTTCATCAAAAAAGACAACATAGCTACCTTGCCCCGCGTGCGTAGCCGATGACACGTGCGTCACACACGAAAGAGCGGCAAGTACAGCTGCGGGCAGCGGCTGGTCGTCAGGCCAGACCGCGTTGGTATGTCCGTACTTGGGAGGAGAAGACACACTTTAACTCTCTCTGATTAGGCACCCGCGGGAGCGAGGAAAGGAAGGGAAGAAGTGGCCCTCCCGAATTCGGGGAAGGGGGCCCACACATAGTAGCCCTTTTCAGGNAGACACACGAACACCCTCCCCGGTTCGTCAAGCTATTGACAAACCATCAGTGGGGCATGGATACTCCAGATCTACTTAAGTTACTAATACAACGGGTGCAAGGGAAAAACTCGGCCATCCGGATCAAAAACCCTCGCCTACAAACTCAAAACATAAA